AGAGATAGATCGAGATAGAGATTTTATGACTGGCAGACATGCTAGTGTGACGTCACATCCATCTGCAATTGAACGCTGGGATAGTATTTTTTTAAACCAAAACGTAGCTTGAAATATTTGTGCCAAGCTTGACGTAGCTTCTTATAACAACGATTACAATTTATACGTTTTAGATCCTGAGTGTAATTATGTTAATTATAGATCTTATGCTAATGAGGACTGACTTAAAACCCCGGAACCTGGCCATGAACATTAACCTTGACTTTGAGCACGTGACCTTGATGTTGTGCACGTGACCCTGCAGTAAAAAAATGCATTAGTCATCACCTTTGATGTGATGCAGTTTATTTTGAATAGCCCCCGATGGACAATGGTCACTCGGCGGGCGTGAGCTGAAGACAGACCAACAAGCCGAGTTCTTCCAAATTTCTTTATCTCCTGACCGTGGGGGGTCTAGTGGTCCCACGGGGCCGGGGGTCCCTGAGGTGCCTGATTTATCGTCTGCGAGATGATAGGAGTGAGGCTGTACGGGCGGGGTGGAGGGGTGGGGGAGGAAATAAAACAATGGAAGGGGGAACATAAATTTTACTCAGCCTTAATCGGGTAAGGGAAAATATGGAGGATGGACCTCGGTGAGAAGAAACAACTTCCGGTTCAGATTGTCTTGTATTATGCACGGAGATTCGGTTTCTGAATTTCGTGACCTGAGATGTAGTATTAGTTATTAAGCAGGACTTTTAATTCACATTTATAAGCGCGCTATAAATATTTAAATGTATATGCTTAAAAAATACACCCTTTTGTTTCTGCTCGCTGTTTCATGTATGAGAACACATGCTTGTCTGCCATGATAGTCAGTAGTACGCATTTTTTTGGGAGAATATGTTCTCCCCACCCCCCCCCCCCCACCCCCCGCACACCCCCCCCCCCCCCCTGTTCGGCCGTGCGGTAAAGTATTGCACGTTGTGACAAACGGGCCGGTGTTTGATTTAAATCTGGCCTGTTGTTGTTTCAATCCGTCCGTGTGACTGACGGGACCAGAGACTAGCAGCCTTAGCATGACCGGTGGGGTCTCAGGGTGAGTACTGGGTGCCGTGTGCTTTTTGCTTGGGCTGCCCCGGCACCCCCTCCCCCAACGACCCGTCTTAGCCGTAAAGATAAACAATTTCCAAAAAGGTCTGCCATACTATTACATTTTACGTGTTTTATAAAAAAAAATGACTGAAATCTTGGTTTGCAGTTAAGGCGAAGATGCCCACGGTATTTTTGTACATTATATTTGAACAATATCAAACCAGAATTGTTCATTATTTTTTTCCTCCCGACCCCCCACCCACCAACCCCCGTTTGCACCCAACTTGTTTTTCTTATTCCACCCAGACCTTCCTTATTTTCCTCCCCAAGAAAAACTCGGATCAGATACCAGAGTGCTCAGTCCGCGTGCGTCCCCCGCCCGTGGCGTCTAAAGGCGAGCAACTCCCTGATTAGTATTGGTGGTCAGTGCTCCACAATACGAGTTCTCTGCCCCTGATTAGCCAATTGACTGCCCATGCGACTAGGGACAAACTCGTCTTCTGTCTTTATTCCCAGAGTGCCACGGGGCTTAGATCTGATTTTCTTCCCCCATCATCCCCCCTCAACATCATCAATGCACTCTTCATCCTTCTGTTCCTCTAGCATTTCTTCCAATATCTTCATGCATTCAATACCATCACAACATCTGTACAACATCAACCCAACACCAACATCTATACAACACCAACTGAACAGATTGAGTTTTGAAATCTATGCCTGTACTACTAATGTCTAAGGTGTCCACTCCCCACTCCCTCTGTGTCTTCCCCCACCCCTATCTTTTCTGTCCAACCCCCCCCCCCCCTTCTGTGGTCCCCCTACAGATTAAGTGCCGTGAGCTCGCCGGGTCCGGTTGCCGGATCACGCGCCGAAAATCCGTGTCCTGGAATACAATGTCCTATAATCGTCCACCCAATTAACAATTAGGTTTTCTATCGAACTGTGGGTGGGGGACGTTGGGGTGGGGCGAGGTGGTTGGAACATTAGTGCATGAGTCTCAAGAAAGAGTTTATTAATAGAAATAAACGTGCTCTGCTTTAACTGGGATTCTCCTAAGACGAATGAAACAGAATGACCATATTAGAGATTTATTGAGAGATATCAAAACTCAGTGCAAAAAATACGTTGAGTACCCAAAGAGTTCTAGATATATAAACAGACTTGCTTGACCGCTTGCTCTCTCTCTCTCTCTCTCACGCACACCACCCACACCCCGCCACACACACACACACAGCTGTTATTCGTCAAAACCTGTTTTTAAAAATCTCATGCGTTCATAACCTCCCAACCTCCCTGCCCTCACACTCCCCCACCCCCTCTCCCCTCGGCTACACGATATTTTTTTCAGTCCTCGCGCCGTCTCCCCCAACAATGAGCTGTTTGCACTCAAATCTCGCGAGGGTTTTTCTCACTTTAGCGCGAGACAAGCTGACAAAAAACTGGCCATCTTTGTCCATTTCCGGCGAGTGAGAGTTATGATAATGATGGCGTTAGCTATGATTAGCCGGGAAATTAATGAGCTGCGTAACGGATAACAAGGAGGACGGAGGAGGGTCGGTGAGTAGGGCGGAGGGGTCAAAGTGCACTCGCGAAATTGATTACTGCTTTAGTTTTGGGATGAGGAAAATTAATTTGAATAATGAATTAGATACTCGTAGTATTGAATGGGGTGTGACATTTTTAATTTATACATGGTCAAGATTTGAAGTAAAAAAAGTCGTTTTTGAAAAATTCTGATTGATTTCGATTGAGCTTATGAGTTTTTGTATCGTATCAGATCCGTACTGTACGCGTGGGGTGGCAGGGGGAGGGGCAGCCGGAGCAGAAGGCTAACAGCAGGCGTTAAACAAATACAAAAACGAAAATTCCACGTCTGCTAATGGCCGCCAGGAATGATCGTAGCGACAATTTTCCCCTGCAATTAAAACTTGGAAACCCCTGACTTATCTGCCCGTGTATATTTGCATCGTCTTCTGTTTCTATTCCTGAGGCTGGCACCAGGTGGCGCATTTCATCATAATGGATCCTGGGCCCTGTACGTTTCTCATGTTTCAACCCCCACCCCCCCCCCCCAACTTCCCGATATTTTTGTGTGTCTACCTCGTCTTATTGTGGGTGAGTTTAAATATCACCCTCCCCATCCATCGTGTTGAGTAAAGAGGGAGGGGGGGGGGATACAGGCAGACATCTATGACGGGTCAGTTATTAAATTAATTTACAGGCGGGGGAAACAAAATTAGTTTTGGTTAAAATAATATTTAGTTTTCCTAATTAACGGTCGAGTGGATTGTTTTAAAAACTATTCAACCGTAAGCTCTCATGATTTCTTGAAGATATTTATACTGTGAAATCTTTCTTGGTATTGTTATATTTTTTTTAAAGCTACTGGTAGTTGTGTTTTACTTCTGTCTGTTAAAACTGTTATTTATTGCTTTTTATTTGTCCACTTTCAGCGCTATTGTATGTGTAGTCTTCATCAATAAAATATATATTAATAAATATTAGCAAGTCCCTATTAAAACTTCTAATTAAAACGCGAGTTTGTTACTGAAATTATCAGCTCACTTTAAAAAAAAAAATTAAGCCAATTTAATCAATTACTTTTTAACTTATGTCTGTTTAAATGAATTATCAAAATAACTTTTTATTCAAGCCTGTTTAAAACTTATCAACTTTAGCTAAACTTAAACTTTTAATTACTTTCTGTATTTACCTGTTATCGTCTTCTTTTTACTTCGACTTTACCACTCAGCTCACAGTTCTAGCGTTTAATATTTGGATCCCAACTTATGAAAACTTCAAATTCTAATTTGGCTTTTCAGAAGCCAACCCGGCAACCCTGGGAAAGTAGCCAGGTGTCCGTCTTATTTTTAGTCGCTTCCTTCACCACTGGTCATCTTAAGTTCCAAAGGCTAATTTCTGGCCCTAATCCGGCCGGCCATCTCGGCAGCTGTCATCGATGTTTTCATAATACCCCCCCCCCCCCCCCCTTCTCTCCCCCTCCCCCTGCCTGGGGTCTGGCAGACAACATTTGTGATCCTATTTCAGAAATTTTAGACGGATTTATGGCGGAGGAATTTTATAACTAGGGGCTGGAGAGACTCAGGGTGTTTAGGAAAATACCCGTCTAAGGGAAGTAACCGCATATAAATCTATCAACTAATTCTTAAATATTTACGTGCTTGCTATAATTCTGCTACAGTGAAAGCATACAAAAGACATCGATACAGAAATATTATTTCTACACGCGAACACAAACTAACCCTCTAATTAACCCTTTAAACGCCACGGTCCAGATGCTCCCTGCGTTAATCTCAGCGGGCACCTGGTCCGCTTATCTCCCCTGCAGTAAAAATGTAACCGTTCCCCGGATAATCCTATCGTCTGTTGATTGGTGCCGGGTTTGTGGGAAGGGATGTTTAGCTCCCTTTTCTTGAGCAAATTAATTTTTTTCCTTTTGTTTTAATGCCACCTCCTTATCAGGGGGGGATAACTTTTTATGCTGTTGCACTTGGATCCTACGGCCTTCTCATTCTCACATCTAACAGCTACACACGTCCATTTTTTAACTTATGTAAAAAAAATTGAGTAAAATATAGGCCTATATTAATGATTGAGATAAGTTTTTTTTTTAATTCCTCCTGTTTTTGGCTCTCTTAGGTTAGGCTTAGTTCGGCGGATACACCACTTCCGCTTTCTAAAATTAGATTAGATTATTTCTATTACCATAAGTGTATATATATATATATATATATATATATATATATATATATATATATATATATATATATATATATATATAATATGATTAAGATTTATTAATTAATTTATATATATTTATATTCAATTTCCGAAAGTCCAACAATGTGTTACTTTCTACTCCCACCTGTGTTTGTACTCTAATGTTTGTAACTTTTGTCTTGCAGTCTTGGAGCGGTCCCAGTACGCCAGCGATGACCCGTTCTTCAAACACAAATGTCGCTTCTGTCACAAGGTCTTCGGTAGTGACAGCGCCCTGCAGATTCACGTGCGGTCTCACACAGGTCAGTCGCCTCGCGCCAAATCTATTTTTAAACTTTTTGTCAAAAATCAGTGGTCTTAACTAGGTTAAAACTAACACACAAAGCGGAATCGTTCAGATTCAACATTTGTTTTTTTTAGATTTTGTCGTAGCTTATTTGCAGATTCTAGAAAAAAAATGTAATTTGAATGTAAAATTCAAATGCAAACTAATTAAAATAATAGTAATTATTCTGTTCATTTTGGTTTTAATTCTATGTCACAATTGTTTTAAGATGTAAATCAAATGGCAAGCTTCTATTTTCTTTTCATAATTATTACCTATCCGTAACCATCATCCCCCCGCCCCCCCCCCCCCCCACCTCTCCAATCCTTATGCTGACCCCGATCAGTCTCCATTAAATGGGAAATCTCGACCAATCGTAAATTTTAAAAATCTGATCGTTAACGGCAACGGAATCGTAATCAGGGTAGCTGAAGCAGAGTCGACGTTTATTGTCTAGTTTTTTTCCCGTTGTAAAGTTGTAAAAAAAAAGTATCGATTTTTTTTTATTCCGATTTGAGCGAAGTGAAAACCTGTCTAACAATTTAGACAAAGCCGACATACAAGGGCGGAGAACTCATGCGAATGTCAACAATGGGGGTCTAGATCGGCGCCAACACGGGACGCATGCGAGGGAACTGTTTATGCTGCCTTGAAATGGAACCCGCGTCTTTATCCACGACGTCTTGTTTAGTCGTGTTTTATTTAGTATTCGGTTAGCGCCCGGGGGTGGGGTCCAAAGGGTGGGGTCCAAGGGGTGGGGAAAGTTTCGTTTTTTTTTTATTTGGAAGAAAATAACTATTTTAATTTTAAAAGAAACTCTAGTACCTTAAAGTTAGTACCTCTAGTTAGTGTTGTGTATTTCTGCTACTGTTAACAAGAATACTTTTATCAACCAGCGGTAGATGATTCTTAGTAGATATAATGTGTGGCCTAGAGGTGTGGGTGTGTGGGGGAGGGTAATTAAGTATTGCTGATTATTTTAATTTAAGAATAAACTAACTTGGGAAAAATAAAATTCATGTTGGTGATTATGTTGAAGATATTGTATCAAAAGGTCTTTTTTGTAAGGACTTTAATTCAGTTTTAGAAATTTGAAATTTTGCTTGACTTTAATTCGCAGATCCTATAGTTTTATTTTTTATTCTTCAGGCTTGCATACAAATAAAAAAAAAAAAAACAATTAGACGTTTAAAGCATATAAGCAAAGCAGTTTAAAACACTAATGTTAAATTATTCCAATGTATTAAGAAAATGAAGAAATATTGCAAAGTTGGGTGGTGGGGGTTTTTAAGGGGCGGGGCGGTGCGTACCACTTCGTCGGTGGTCCAGTCGTTGATGTAATCTTCGAGAAAAAGTCCGCGAATAAATGTAAATAAAAGGGGGCGCTGCAGAAAAGGGGGCGCTGCAGCCGCCAACTAGGCGGTCACGTGTCTCTCGCGAGAAAACGCGAGATGTTGAACGAGTAATTAGTTAGGCCTACCTCTCGTAAATTTTTCTGTTTAATAAAAAAAATGCATCCGTTCATTTCATATCTCATATGGCGGTGTATCATGAGTATACCTCTTCTTCAGACTTGATATTTGGTAGTAGTTGGTTATTTTGTTGTGTATTTGCAACAAAGGGCATTTGTAGATGTGTACTAACCTGCACACCACAGTGATTCAGGTTTATTTAGAAGTCTTTCTACATTGAGATAAATCTTGGTCAAGTTCTTGCAAAAGTTACATCCGTTTTTTTATTCACGTGTCTAGTTCAGTATGTCTAGATGTCCTACTAGATGTATGTATTGTCGTGATGTATGTATTGTCGTGATGTATTTAAAGTCGACATGTTTGTTTATACGTCGAGTTGTCTGTATACAGAGATGTATGTCTAGATGTCTGTATAGGCTGACTTTCAAAATGACTAGCCGTAAGAATCTTAATTAAAATTCTTGGCGAAATGTTTTTCCCCTTTTATTTAAAGGGAGATTACAAATAAATGTGTTTAGTTTTTTTAGATGGACTTATTTGTAGTGACTTAGATACCAGATACAGGTCAAATATATTACAGAATAATTGAGTTTCTATATAATAGTGACATTTTTGGCGTTAAATTAAAATGATCCTCATTTATTTGTCCCTCTTTGAGTTTATTCTATCACAACAAACTATAGAAATTTTTTTTATGCAACCTGTTTTTATAAAAAATCAAGTCACCTGTTACTGTTGAAATAGTAGGCCCGTATAAATAAATAAATGTATATAAGGCCCGTATAAATAAATAAATGTATATATGTATATATATGTATATATATATATATATATATATATATATATATATATATATATATATATATATATGTATATTTCTAGAACATGCTGTTTACAGTTCTTCTGCTTCTGTCTGTGTTTTTGTCAGAATGTCTGTTCGTTAGTCCGTGTGTCTGTCTGTGCGTCTCTTTGTGCCTAAGACCACCACGAGTCCAATAAACCCTTAAGTCGCCCCGCCTAACAAGGCGTCCGTCTATAAATCATTATCCTGCTCGTACGGGTCGTCATAATGAATATTCATCAAGTCCCGGCCGCCTTGAGTTGTCTTTCTTTGACTCACCCTGCAACCTCAGGCGTTGGTGCTATGGGGCTTTTTGTTTTTCGTCGTCGGTTACTCATCTCCAATGCACGTGCACACTACTGCGATTAATATTGAAAAAAGAGCCTTGCGGTTTGAAATTTTGGTAAAAGTGCAAATATTGATTTTTAGATCTAGTAGTGAGATGTTGATATTGAGGGCTTAACTGTGGGAGGTAAACTAAATTTTGACAAGAACTGATTGTGTGTAGTATAATGTGGTTAATTATTTATAAAAACCTCTCATGAATTTATTTAATAATGTCAACAAAACGCTTAATATTTGATCCAGATTTTAAAATTTCCCAAATATGAAATCACACTTGACATATTTGCATTTCTAAATTTAAAAGTGGGAGTTGTCTGCCCCCCCCCCCCCCTCCCCCTTTCTTCACAAATTCATTTCCATGTCAAAGGCCAGTGGCCAGCTGACATGCGCAGACACATTGCGCAAGAGAAATTGGACTGGCGGGTTATTGTTCATATCACTGCCTGTCAACCCCGGCCCGCCGCCCCACCCCGGGCCCGCCGCCCGACCCTGGTAATCGCTGCTTTATTGATGACCGAACCGGGCGGACAAAGAGTCGCTGCCACTGGATCGCGCTATGATGACAGCGACAAGCGGTGATGTCCCTTGCTCTAGGGGAGAGAACCCGAGAAAATATGAGGGATAACTTCCTTGTGATTAAAGCAATAACAAAAGTGTTAGTGCCGAGCGGGGGAAGCGAGGGAACGGGGGAGCCTGGAAATATGGCATTTGGGGGGGGGGGGGGGATTTTTGATGGGAGTCATCAGAAGGGTGGAGAGTCGTATTTTGATGGGGGGGGGGGGGTGGATTTGAGGGCAGTTGACGGACAGGAAACATGTGGGGAAGTTTAAGTCAGAGATGAACTTTGGTCTGGGAGACTTGACTCACGCGATTCCTGTTATTCGACAGGAAGTAGGGGGGGGGGGAATAATCAATGGGGTAGGGGGAAATAAAGGGGTAGGGTGTTAAACTTTAGATGGAAATTATCGAAAATAAAGTAGTTTTTTTTGGGGGGGACACGAATTAGTATTTTAAAAATACTACATTTTTGTAAGCTCTTCACTATTTGAAATATAGTAAAAGAAATAAAAAAGGGCTTCTGTGAGAGTTAGCTTGGTTTAATGAAATATGTCAATAGCTGTGTTTTAAATATGTTCGTACCAAGGTGATATATTGATATAGCCTTACTAAATCGAGAGGTGAGGTCTCTCTCAAAGACAATCCCCTTATTTATCTGCTTCAATTTAAGTGTAGATTACATACGATTACATATCACTATTAGTTACAATTTTTTTTCTAATTTGATTATAACGCTGTGGAGATTCTATCAATGTCATATCAAAACACGAGTACATTGAACGACGACTTTGGAGATGAGGAAACCATTCAGACTCTCTACACACAAACTTTGAGCCAGATACAAAGAGGAGCCTGCAAGTGAACAAAGTCGTGGTCATTTCACTGGACAGAGGTCACCGCCCCACGAGCCCGTGGTCATCTTATGATTCAGACCCCGGGGACCACACCCCGGCCCCCATGGCGTGACCGGCACAACAGATTGATAATCACGGCCGGGAAACCGTACACTCGGCGTTATTTGCCGTCCCTCGACTCACCTCGGGTTGTTTGAGGGGGGGGGGGAATCACCGTGGAGGGGTTCCCGTGAGTAGGGGTCACGTTCTTTCACTGACGATGACATTTCTAAACAGTTTGGTCATTTTGAGCTGTGAATATATTGACTTTAGCAAGGGTCAACGACATTTTGTCATCGACATTTTGTCATTGACATTTGTAATCGACATTCGTCATCTGTCCGGTTAAATGCAAGTGTCCAGAATGATTATTTCTGACATTATCAAGCGCTTGACGTCTATTCTATCGACCACCAAAAGCTAATTTTGAAAATTAATTAGTGAAGCTATTTTACTCTGTTTTATAATAAAACTCTTTAAATTGCTGATGTAAACTGCTGATGTAAACTGTTGATGTAGCTCCATTAAAAGAACATGTTAAGTCAGTTTATTTGTAATACGAAGATCTGCCATTTAAAATATGTGTAAAAATGACGAGTGATAAATATTTTCAACTGTTTTTTTTTCTCTTCTACAGGTGAACGCCCCTTCAAATGCAACATCTGCGGAAACAGGTTCTCCACCAAGGGCAACCTCAAGGTCCACTTCGAGCGTCACAAGGCCAAGTACCCCCACATCAAGATGGACGCCACACCTGTTCCCGAACACCTGGACCGACAGCCCAACCTGATGCCCAACTTCTCCCCCACGCCCATACCATCCTCAGTCCCACTTCCTCCTCCCATGCCAAGGCTACCCATCCCCTCAGCACCCCACCCACCGCCCCCGTCCCCATCGTCATCCAACCACACCATGTCTCCCCACCCTCCACCATTTTCATTCGGGGGATCTTTCCTCCCCTCCCCGGGTATGTCACCCTTCGGTCTGATGCCACCTCCACGGGACGGTGCAATGCACTTCCCCCACCCCCTCAGCTTATCTCTACCATCACCGATGGGCATGCCCTTCCCACATGGACGCGAACCCATGCACAAAAGAGATTCTCCGATGAAACCCAGCTCAGATTCTGGCGTCTTGCGATCACCCCACAGAGAACCCCACCCCAGCGGTCGAGACATCTCGCCATCAGACCCGAGAAAGCCCCACCCCAGCCTGACGAACTATCCGTTCCCCTTCCACCAGCACCAGCGGCGTGACTCCATGTCCCGTAGCCAGAACGGATCTGACAACCACACCAGCGATGACGACCACCAGGAGGAGCCGGAAGACCGGCGAGCCGGAACTCCGAGTGAGAAGCTCTCGAGGAGCCGTCACGAGTCGGAGAAAAGCCGGAGCCAGTCGCCCGCGTCAAGAAAGTCAACGTCATCAAAGGTGACGACATCAACCCCCATCCCCAGCACGCCCCCACCTTTACCCCGACCCTCGTCTAACCAGAGCCCTCGCCAGTCTCCAGCCTCAGTCATCAGCTGGGCGTCCTTTGTGTCCTCCCAGTCCCCCATGCTACCCAGCCACCACCCCACTCTATTCTCCCCACACCACCCCCTCCCTCCTGGATTCCCGGGCCTCGGCCTGCCTATGGGAGGACCTATGGGAGGACCCCCACCCTCATTTCACCTTCCCCCTCTAAACCCCATCCTCCCAATGTCCGGTCCAAGAATGAGCGGACACTCCCCATTCCTCCACCCCCCTCCACCCCCGCCCCCACAAATCTCTAGTCCAAATGGAGACGGGTCGATGTTCAGGAACTCAATTCTCCCCACCAAAACCATCGATCCTTCAGAAAATCTAGAACAGTACATGGAGGTCCAGAAGTCTGAGACGTCCAAGTTGGAGGCGCTGGTCAAAAATATCGAGCAGAAGATTACAGACCCGAACCAGTGCGTCGTCTGCCACCGCGTACTCAGCTGCAAGTCCGCCCTACAGATGCACTACAGAATCCACACGGGCGAACGGCCTTTCAAGTGTAAAATCTGCGGCCGATCTTTCACAACCAAAGGAAACCTCAAGACCCACATGGGCGTCCACCGAGCTAAGCCGGCCCTGCGGATGATGCACCAGTGTCCGGTCTGCCACAAGCAATTCACCAACGTGCTGGTGCTCCAGCAGCACATCCGGGCTCACACGGGCTCCATGCCGCACATGCCTCACCTACCCATGCTGCCCTCGCACATGGATTGGCCGCACAGAAATCCGTTCAACCTCCCCCGACACCATCCCTACCTACCCCCCATGCACCACGACTCCCTCGACCTCCACCGCGGGCCGCCATTTCACCCCGGGCACTTCCCCAGAGAACGCCCCCACATGATGGAGGGGGACAGAAAACCTGAGGTCCCCCCACGACGAGAGATGGAAGACCGCGATCAGGACGGAGAGAAGAAGGAGCGAGAGAAGAAGAGTGACGAAGAACCTGCAAAAGACGATACCTCCAGACCACATTCCCGGAACAGCGAAGGTTGTGATGATAAAAACAGACCCAATTCCAGACACTCTCCTGCTAGGATGGAGCGCAGTCAAAGCTCACCTTTCACAAAACCCAACTTCGAGTCGGCATTCTTGCCGCCAGCGTTCGGCAACACGCCTTACGACGCCCCGCTTGCCGCTCTAGAGGAACGCGTCAAGGCCATCGACAGCCAAATGTCGCAGACGTCCTTTGAGAAGTTCCGCAACAGCATGGGCTTAGACACGACCTTTTTCCCCAACTCCAACACCAGCCCATCCAACGGGGAGAAAAACTCAGAGTACGGCTCCGAACCGACCAGCAAACCGGAAAGTCCGGCATCCGGAAGTGACATGCCGCCTTACGGTTTCCCAATGCTCGGAGGCTACGACGGTCGAAACTCAACCACTTGCAATATTTGCTTGAAGACATTCGCCTGCAAAAGTGCGCTAGACATTCACTATCGCAGCCACACCAAGTTAAAACCTTTTGAATGCGATGTCTGTGAACGGAGCTTCAGCACAAGAGGAAACCTGAAGCAGCATCTCCTGACCCACAAAATACGAGATCTCCCCGACTCTGCTTTTGACGGCCAAGATCGCGGTGACGACAGCCAGCAGAACAAAGACGACGGTGACGACGACAGCGAGCTGCCTAACGAGGACTACCCGTATGAGGAAGACGTGGACGAGCTAGCGATGGACCAGGATGAAGATGACTACGATAACATGAACGATGAAGATTTTGACGAGCCTCCGCCGTCAGACGACCCACCAGCATCTCCGAAATCAAACGATGACTTTCACGAAAGCAACAACAACCTGTCAGACTTCCAAAACCACAATGGTGAAGATCTAGACGAATCGAACGTGGACGACACAGCCGACATGGAGAATGACGAGAAAGAGCAGCAGGAAGTAGGTAAACATACTTTAAACTTGCCAACCTCACCATCCCAGCTGCCGCCGATTAATACCAACAACGGAAGTACGAATGAAAACAGCCCGCCATCTTCTTCCGGCCACCGCCCACCCCACAGCGGCGGCTCCTCCAACTCGAGCCAGTCAAGCAACTCCGCCAAGAGATCGAGCGGGCCCAAGCACCAGTGTATGACGTGCATGAAGCCGTTCTCGTCTGCCAGCGCCCTGCAGATCCACACGCGCACCCACACAGGGGACAAACCTTTCAAGTGCACTGTCTGCAGCAAGGCCTTCACCACACGTGGTAATCTTAAAGTCCACATGGGCACCCACATGTGGAACAACAGTCCTTCACGCCGTGGCAGGAGGATGTCCATCGAGCCCCCATTCCTCCTCTCTCACATCAAAGACAACCCGTTTATGCCAACAGGCTTCCCTCCCCGCCCCCCTCCTGATTTCTTCTACCAGTACCCCCTCCCCATGATGAACGGCCCTGGCCCTAAGATGAACGAGATTTCTGTTATACAGAGTCTGGGGGGCGGTCTGCCCAGTTTGCCGCCCATGCCGCCCCACCTCATGCACGGGTTTCTCCCCAAAGAGGAACACAAGCTGCACCGCGAGCCTCGCCCCACCCCCAGCCCTCGTGACGAGTCACGTGACGACAAGAAGCCCTCTGTTGGCGAGCTGGACCTCAGCATGAAGCTCCCCGGCAAGGACGTCTCCCCCTCAAGGTCATCGTCCACCACGCCCTCTCTCTCAGTCCACGCCCCTGTGGCGTCCCTGGCAACATCCACTTCCTCCAGCACGCCGTCGCCTAGCAACAATAAAGAAAACAGCAACATGGCCGCTTTGGACCTGCGCAACATGCGGGGCGCCCCGTGGCTGTGGGGCGCCTTCCCCTGCCACCACTGTGGTCAGATGTTCCCGTCCCAGGACTCTCTGGAGCACCACGTGAGGACGCTCCACCTGGGCAAGTCCGACCCCACGGGCCACGCCATGTCTAAGACAGAGCCCCACCCGCCTCTCCCGCCCAAAGCACTGCTAGCATGACATAAATACTCACACAGACCTCCGTACTTTTTCTGATGTACTCATCAGTTTTACCTGAAACTATGTACACATGTACATATTTTATTTTGATTCGACGTGTACACACACATACAATAATTACGATGGATTCGTATTTGAACAACTAAACATTTTATTCCATTCTGCTACGAACTTATCTAGACATTGTGTTTTCTGTGTATTCACATTACCGCTTTGAACAGAAATGTAGTAAGACAATTAGCCGCAGCCAGGCTTTATACTGTACAGTGTTAAAAACAATTGAGGTCAGTGGACTATCACGTGACCAGACATTTGTTCGTGATTTCAAATTAGCTTTAACATATTTTTGTCGTCATCAATCACTTTCTTCAAACTACAGCCAAGCCACTTGGTGGAGGGAATGTCCGCATAATAGATGTACTAGTAACTTTTTCCCGTTTGTATATTTAATGTACGGGTTTGCTTTATGAGCGAATTCTACGTATTAAATGTGTGTGTCTGTAAACGATTGCGCCGGTGTGTCTGTTATATGCACCAAAGAAGTGTCTGTTTAAAACACAGACATACAATCATACTGTGATCACAACAAAAAGGTGAATTTCTATCTTGTACATTTTTCCCCTGTCTGAGAATGAACGCCATTTTAAAACCAGTAGATGAAAAATTTCAAGTGATAAATGGCGCTATGTGAATCCGGTTGAGTAAGGTTCCTTGATGTTTGTAAAAAAAAAAGACCTGTTTTTTCTTATATTTAAACTTTTAACATGTGACCTAGTTATTTTTATCCCTCGTGCTCTGATTGGATCGACCAGAAACCAGTCTGGCAATACAAAATGTGTTCTTTGTACAAAAAAAAAATCTGGCTATTATGGAATGTATTTTTCTTTTATAATGAGTTTGCTTGCATGTATGGCTGATTATGTATGATGAGATTTAACAAAACAATATCATGTTGGGAATCCACAAGTGCAAGATTATATTTTATAAAAGCTGTAGGAGACAATCTGGGCACAGCAAGGAGTTTTACTTTTTTGTCAGCTATAAAAATTGCACTTTATTAAAATAGCAAAGGCGTTTGAATTAGTTGTAAATTTTAAATGTCTTATTTTCCCACTTTTTTTAAAAATGGCTGTCATGTCGTTAGTGCATGCACTTGTATGCCTGTGTGTAGTTTGACGTGCATTACTTCAGTTGTTTTATGTTGATGTAAATAGTGTGTAAACCAGAATCTAGTCTTAATGTACCATTTGCTATTCATACCTCACACTTTTTGAAATAATTCTACATGTAGATACTAACCCTTTGCTTAGTTACTGCTAAACGCCTCATTAAAAAAAAACGATTTCTGATAGTCCTGTGGAGATTCATGTTTGGTTGAGACAAATTCAACACAAATTTCAGTAAACATTTGGTTTCTTGCCGTCTTCCTACCACATTCAAAGTACTCGCATTTTCGCTGATTTTTTTTTCGATCGCGCACACAATTTTAATCCACGCACTGTCAAGGGAAATATAATTACATTTATTTTAATGTTATTTTTGTCAATGTGTTTCTACTGAAACGAAACTTTAATTACCTTGTCTATGTTTTGCTTGGATTAACTCTTCAGGTCAATGTGCATATGTTTACATTCATTTCTACTCAGGTTTATTGGGACTACTTTAAACAATGATCGTGTGTGTGTCAGTGTGTGTGTGTGTGTTTGAGAGTGTTTATGTGTGATGCTTGTGTTGTGGCTATATAATACACAATAATTCTGATTGGCTGTCTTAAAATAGCTCCTCCGGGGCTGGTTAAAATGGACTAAATATAAACATACGGAGATATAAATAGAATATATTTTTGTCTTTTCTTTTGCAATCTATTTATAATTTCAATGTTTTTCTAGTAAAATGTAAATAAATTTCATTATTTTAAAAATAAAGTATGCTTTTGTTCACGTGACTACAGAAGCCATGGTATAGCTAAAGCAATTTTTGGTGAAAATTTAGAATGGCTTTATGCTACTTTAGGTTACTATAGTTCTTCTTCATTCTGTGTTTGAAGTGTAGTTTTATAAGGTTTTTTGAAGTCATAAGTTTAGCATTTTTAAGCAGTGAAACCAAAGATAAGAAGTATTGTGTTATTCTTGGCAAAAAGCTACACGCACTGTTGAGTAATTTCTAGTTTTCTAATCATATGGGAGTTTAAATAGGTTATAAGGATCTGGTGTCAATATATAAAGTATAATCAAAGCAGTAAGAAGATTTTGTTGACTGCATTAAAGGTTTAGTTATTCCTGATAGCTTAGTGGCTTCTGATTGGCTGTTAGTGTAGACCAAAAACACGAATTTCTTAGATCTCAGCTCCGGTTCAATATACCAGGAGCTTTGTAAGGCTCACAATTCTACTTCCTGTGGCTACCCAACTTGGCAACAAATTAGTTTTGTTTTAAAAAATTATTATTGCTGTGTCCAAGTGTAAAACCACTAGTCTGAAACCAGATATTTCGTCTGGCATTGAATGTTATTTTGTTTCGTTTATCTGACTGTAATAAATTTGTCTTTTTAAAAAAGGAAATTTGCATCCAGCGATGAATTGAATTCTCTGTGAATTTATTTTTGGTCGATGTTTTTTTTTTATGAACGGAGATTTGTGATTGATTGTCTACTGGTTAGTCAATGTAAATATGATCTCATGCCAGATTTTTCTCGTGTTTTTAGTCAAATAGTGGATGTGCTGTGTGGATGACATTTTGGATGACATTTGACCAGTTTGACATTGATACTTATTAAACAAAGATAGCTGTTACAATCACTGGTTTGGTGTTTTCTATATCTTCCTCCCCATGTTTTGTTGAATGCGTGTGTGATTCACGTTCGTGATTGTGTCATGTGTGTGTGATTCACGTTCGTGATTGTGTCATATGTGTGTTCTCCACGCAAATGTGGACTGGCTGTGTCCAAGAGGCCCGGGAAAGTTTTAAAGGGGTCCAAACTGGAGTCTTTTTCAAATTACAATATTGGCACACGATTATAATGAGAAAGATACATCAAAAGTATTACTTTAAATTGGGCATAAACCCGTCAATGCATTTGAAATTATAAATGAAAACATATAAGAAAAGATAATATGTACTAAACAGATGTGATAGTGTTTGACTAAAGAAATTGTATTAACTTAGTACAGAAAAGCAACACATAGGAAAAGTGTTGCAAGATTTGCATGTTTTAAGTTCTTCAAACTTATTTATCACTAAGGTGAATCTTCATTGAAGCTGTCTACTGATTCATCGACATTTTTTGCTCATTATCGAGGTCGTAAATTAATATGTGATCAGTTTTTTTTTGCGCAAGACAAGGTTTTACCAGGTGAATAAAATGTGTCGATCTAGGGTTAAATAAAATATAATATTTTTTATTGAAAATATTGATTATGGCAATTATCAAAGTTGATAAGGGATGTAGAAAGTGTGTTAACTAAATATCGTACGTGTCTAGATTTAGAGATCTGGCGTTAGCCTTATATCAAGGGTATAGTTTATTTAGTTTTACTTTTCCTATACTGTACTGAGTATTGATATTACCTATGTCCGACAAAAGACTTCCGAAACAAGGTGTGTTAAATTGTTATTAGTATTGAAATCTCAGTTTTTATGCTAAAAAATTAGGGTTAGGGCAATGGTAGGATTGGGTTTAGGGATAGGATTAGCATTGACGTTAGCTAGACATAGGTGTAATTAGTTAAATACAAAAAAATAACCATCCATTTTTTAGGGTTTATTATTGTGGCATTGTTGAACACGGGTATAACACCCCTTAAAAACGAAAGGCTATTCCTCTTTTAGATTCTGCCCGGTCTATCTGTTGAAGGTCAAAAACTTTTTTTTGTTTGTAAACATTGTCCCAACGTGATGGAGATTCACTGGACTGGGATTGAGAACAAATGTAACGCCTTGACAGGAAGTAAAGGGGGAATGGTAAAATGTACAGATACTAACAAAATATGGTTTTAAAAAACAAAGCATTGAACATGTGACTAATAGGCCTATTACAGCACAGTTCCAGAGGGTCCACCGGGAATTCTCCCGGTAGAAGGGGGGGGGGGGGGTGGCAGCCCGCCCAGCCGACCCCTAGATCCACGTTCGTGCTCCTGTGTGTAGTGTGTTGTTAGAGTCACGTTCGTTCTCATCTCGGCGAGGCGCCTAAAATAGGGTACATACATTTCGATGATGTCCCTAAATTCCTTGAATCTAAACCTCAGTTCTAAATTGTAGAATGTATGTTGTATGTGTATGGGCGGGCCCACATAACTAACACAAATGGCGGTTAAGTCTGATGCTGGAGATGGTGAGCAAACTGGGCGGAGCCAAGCATGTGGTGGGTGGAGCTAGTATTTCATCAAGGCAATTTAATGGAGAGATATATCGTTAGTTTTTGTACACAAGCTGGCTTTTGTTAACGTTGTCTAGGGGCCACAGGGGTGGTTACAATTAAAACCGGCTAGGGGCGGTGGGGGTGGTTGTGGGGTGTCGGTGCCCCCAATTATGCGAACAGTTGTCATAAGGCGAACCAGCTATCAGCCCGGGTGTACCTTGTTTTGTTTCAAACTTGGGTTATCACCCGTGTCTGTCTGCCAGAGGTCAAAGGTCGCGCGTGCCGAGGGTCACCTGGAACGCTGGGTGCGGAAAAACCGCGAGCGCCCGGGCCGCAGATCGCCGCCAGGGTGGGAGATAACCGCACAACACGCACAGCACCGTGTGAAAGGTTATGACGATTGTCGCTCTTGAATTATGACGAGTTTGAACTTTGATAAAAGGGGAGGGAATTCCTGCTCGATCATTACTAAACGTAAAACCCCAGCAGGTTCTTCTTGTAAGTCCGCGTTCAGCACCAGTGCCAAATGGCGAGGTGCGTTATCAAGCATCACTTGCTACCTGTCTTGGGGGGAAGTTATCGCGCAGACATCCATCCAGGCAGGGAAAGTAAGGTTTGATACAAATGGCATTGTTAATCATCTCAAATGTGGGGCTCGCGTGGAGATAATGGCGTAGGGGGGCGTGGTGTTCATTAGTTTGTGTGGCCTCAGATAGCCAGAACCCAGAATTTATGCTCCATCACGGATACCTGCGGCACGGGTTTAGTCCAAGTCATATCTCTACAGTCAGATCACTGGAGAAATAGAACAGGGGTTTTAACTATCGCTAACCCCCCACCCCCTTTGTTCAAACATATTTGTATATGTCAACTCTCCCCCCCCCCCCACCCCTACGTCTAAATGAAACGACGTGGTCGGGTGGTAGTACTCACGACTGCCAACCCAGAAGTTTCGAGTTCAGATCTCGTGCTTCAGTCCGTAATACACCCGCCACTACTGACACCCGACTTAGGTTAGGGACAGGGGATGCAGATCGGCACAGAACTATCCAGCGTATCATTTACATGTTATTTTTCACAGAAATAGATGAACTCTACTTCTTAATGTTTAGATACTTTATATTGTAGCATAGGATCCTAATTACTTGTATAATCTTAGTATGTAGATTGAAAACGGTTCTGAATAGGCCTACTTAATGAGTTTAGCTGGTTTCTCTCTTTAATTTATTTAATCCAACATTTTAGTTTCCCTGTACACAGTTTCTGATAGGCAAATAAAACGGGAAGTTTGCAAATATCACCATATTATGTACATACATGTTTACATCATTATTTTCTTTATATTTGTTATTTAAATCTTAAAGCAAATTTATGGAGTGTTGTCAAGTAGGCCTATACGTAAAAAACCCATTTTACCGTATCTTTTTTGTGAAATACGATTCGGATTTTTTTATAATTTGGGCGTGGCAGATTCTCTTCTACTCCCTACCTTCAGCACGTTCTAAAAATAGTAACGATTAAAATAAACACAACATTGAGGCCATACGCGCTACTAAATATAAGACGGAAAAAAAATCAAATTAATAGAATATTTGTCTTATCTCCCCTTAGCTACACACAATTACTGCCCTTGGTTAACCTTTATAAAACGATGTTGTTTTTTTTTTTTAACTTGCACCATTATCGTCCTTAAGGCCCGGACTGTGGTACGTCAAACCCACGACATTTTCATACTGATAATTGGCACTATCTGGTATCCATAAATTCCTGCCACAATTCTCTATCTTTATTTTTATGGAAAACCGGAATGCTTTCTGTCAGTCGCCTCCCTGTGTTTATTATGAAATGATAAACTATATTTTAATTTATAATATATCAATGTATAAAAATAAAGAAATAAAAAATAAAATATTGTGAGAAGTTAAAAATTAGCCGGGTTTAATTAATTGCTTTATTTATTGATATGTTTTTA